TCCAACGTTCAGAGCTTCTCCATGTCGTGGCACTCGTAGCCATCTACAGGCTTCCTCCGCTGCCACCTGTACGAGTCGCTGGCAATGTTGTAAATGCCGTTGTCGATCCAAGAGTCTGTGGAGCAGCTCGATAACATCGGTCTCGCCAGCATTCACCATTTCATGGTTGACTGCATCCCTGACGACATCTGCCGGGAAGAGGGTCACTTGAGATGTCGTAGAGGTCGAGGAGGAAATGGAACCATCCACAATTTGCATTCTCCATTGCACCAAGAAGACTGATATTTCGTCTAAAGTATGTTCAGACGTTGAACATGCAGTAGGAGAACTCTCTGGTGGAGACATGTTGGACGATGAAGAAGTACTCCCACACATCGAAGATGTCATCGTCCAGCAGGTTGAAGTAGCCACAGAGGACGTCGTAGTGGTTGAAGTGAAGCACGGTATAGACAGAGTAGAGCACATCTCCGAAGTCGAGAGAGAGGTCGTAGTGGACGTGGATGAACCAGGTAATCGAGCAGAAGGGTCGGCCCAGATCCCAAGAAGTTCGCCCTCAAGTGCACGCAGTTCATCCGGAGAGAGAGCCGCTTCCACAGTGGTCCCCTGCGAAACCGGTTCATCAGTTGCAGCATTGTTACTCACTGCCAGGTCTTCATTGGAGGACGAGCTTGCTTCTTCTCTGGACCTTGGGCTTCGCGAACGAGCTCTAGAGTTTGCCTCCTCACCACTCGAAGCATCATGTCGTTCAGGGACTGCTGGATCACGATTCACATTCTCATCCGGCTGGAGTGGCACCGCAAGGTGTTGGCGAAGGGTGGCCTCAAGGACGTCAGCAGTCGTGCGCGCCCACTGGAAGAGATTCCACCTGGCAGTTTGGTCACGAGGAAAGCGTTGGACCGGCCACAGACCACGTGGTATCAGGCGGCGATGGAGCAGTTCTTGGATCGTCTCGAGGGCCTCCATACCATTCTCAACCCTCTGTAAGAAGCGTGCAACTGCCCAACGCGCTTCCGGACCTCTATCATTTGCCTGATGATTATCAAGTCCTTGAAAAATGTCAGCCAGGCGGTCGATCATGCCACGCGGAACAGAGGCTTCTTGAAGGCGACGTCTTTCAGCACCTGTGAGTTCAAGGCTGCCCGCATGGTCCAGATAGTCAAGGTTCCTCACCGTAGGAAAAAGACCTTCATTGGGAGGCAACTCTAGATGTTGGTCTGGCTGTGCACCGGGAAGAATCACCCCAATGGGAGGAATCTCCATTTCGCCCGGAGGCGCACTTGTAGTAGTGGAGGAAGTGGAACTCGTCGGATCCCAAGGTGTATGCCACGACAAGCAGTGAGCCCAGCCATCCCAAGCTTGCGATGAACTCGGCGAAGGAGTGCTCCAGGACGAGGAGGACGTAGCATCGCCAGGTTGCTCAGCGACATTTTGCTGCCACCAGCCCGTGGCAGGGTCTTGATGCCAGCCCTCGAATTGTTCATCCCAAACTTGTGCGGTTTCATTGTGTTGTTCCCTTTCACCACCAGATCGTTCTCCAGCAGCTAGACGTTCTCGTTCTGCTTTGTCTTGTAGATATCGTTGCATCCACGCCGGTTTCCAGCGTCCAGAGAGCCAGTCTTGAACCCTTTTCTGTTTGCATGCAAGACGAACAGCTCCTTGTCCTCCTTCATGTATCCTTTGTTCGGCTTCTGAGCGATGTCGAGGTTGCCATTCCCCATTATGCCAGAATCCAATCGTGTTGTCACTGGTTTCCGAAGAGGTGGCATTGCCACAGGAGTCGACATCTCCTGCAGTTGTAGAGTTACTACTACCTGCAGGTGGGGAAGCACGGATTTTGGCTCTCTCGCCTGAGGCAGTCGAGATCTCAACCACCGTTTCTCCCTGGTGTGAGGACAGGCCATGGACTTGGAAGAACTCACTATCCTCACGAATCGTTGCCAGGCCTTGTTGGGGAGGATGGGCAGGAGAAGCTTGAGCTGCATCCCGACCACGATTGATACAGGAGCCGTCGGGATTATGCCACCGGTCTCTACCCGCTCTCCAGCTGCCGAAACGTTGTGTTATACCGGGTTCGTCATCATGTGGAGCTGTCTGTTCCGGAGTCACGGAGTCAGGGTTCGCAGTTGCTGGCATCCAGGAGCTAGAGGACGAAGAGGACGTTGAGGCCGAAGGCGTAGTAAAGCGCCCCGGTTTCAGAATACTTTTGCTCACGGTCCGCGTCATCAAGCTAGCCGGATCTCTTGCACATGACGGTGTAGCAGAAGCCAGAGGAGGAGATTCTTCAGCTTCAGGTGGAACAGGATCTTGTGCAGGTTGAGCGGAGTAGCCAGGTTCCTCTCCACGAGCATGAGCTTGAGCAGGACGTCCACGTAGAGCTCGATGATCTCGCACCATTTCCCACCAGTCGGCCACTGGCTCCTCGAGGTGATTGGCCAAAGCAGACACGGTTGTGGATCCTGAGCTAGGGACAAGCTGTGTAGGCGGAATGGACGCAGGATCTGGAGCTGAAACGGTGGTGACCGAGGTCAGCATGTCACCCTCAATCTCTTCCTCCTGTAGCGCCAGACAAACTTCCTCATCCCACACACTAGCCATGTAGGTGACATGCTGGGCGTGAGTCAGGGAGCCAGTGGCGGTGTTTTGGACCCACGTAGGAGACGAAGGCGAGCATGTCCAGGAGCTGGATGTGCTGTGCTGTGGCAGAGGGTTCGTAGAAGCCAACGTAGACAAACTGGAGGAGGAGCCGTTTGTCAATGTAGACGAAGGGTCAAGAGGTCTCGATGCCAAAGGTCTCCACTCATCCCATTCTTCGTCTTCCTCCCAAAGGGTGCAGTTAGTGAGACAGTACAGGGTCCCCAGGAGCAGAAGAGGGCAGCGAGGCCACAACATCCACACCATGGGTACGTAGAGAGTATAGGCAGGGTTGTCCACAAAGTTCGAGCCGAGGGCTGCAATAGGAGGCAATAAACTCAAAGAAGGTTCACAATGTCAAATTCAATCGAGTTTCAGAAGGTCATTCAGCACCTGTGAGTTCAAGGCTGCCCGCATGGTCCAGATAGTCAAGGTTCCTCACCGTAGGAAAAAGACCTTCATTGGGAGGCAACTCTAGATGTTGGTCTGGCTGTGCACCGGGAAGAATCACCCCAATGGGAGGAATCTCCATTTCGCCCGGAGGCGCACTTGTAGTAGTGGAGGAAGTGGAACTCGTCGGATCCCAAGGTGTATGCCACGACAAGCAGTGAGCCCAGCCATCCCAAGCTTGCGATGAACTCGGCGAAGGAGTGCTCCAGGACGAGGAGGACGTAGCATCGCCAGGTTGCTCAGCGACATTTTGCTGCCACCAGCCCGTGGCAGGGTCTTGATGCCAGCCCTCGAATTGTTCATCCCAAACTTGTGCGGTTTCATTGTGTTGTTCCCTTTCACCACCAGATCGTTCTCCAGCAGCTAGACGTTCTCGTTCTGCTTTGTCTTGTAGATATCGTTGCATCCACGCCGGTTTCCAGCGTCCAGAGAGCCAGTCTTGAACCCTTTTCTGTTTGCGTGCAAGACGAACAGCTCCTTGTCCTCCTTCATGTATCCTTTGTTCGGCTTCTGAGCGATGTCGAGGTTGCCATTCCCCATTATGCCAGAATCCAATCGTGTTGTCACTGGTTTCCGAAGAGGTGGCATTGCCACAGGAGTCGACATCTCCTGCAGTTGTAGAGTTACTACTACCTGCAGGTGGGGAAGCACGGATTTTGGCTCTCTCGCCTGAGGCAGTCGAGATCTCAACCACCGTTTCTCCCTGGTGTGAGGACAGGCCATGGACTTGGAAGAACTCACTATCCTCACGAATCGTTGCCAGGCCTTGTTGGGGAGGATGGGCAGGAGAAGCTTGAGCTGCATCCCGACCACGATTGATACAGGAGCCGTCGGGATTATGCCACCGGTCTCTACCCGTTCTCCAGCTGCCGAAACGTTGTGTTATACCGGGTTCGTCATCATGTGGAGCTGTCTGTTCCGGAGTCACGGAGTCAGGGTTCGCAGTTGCTGGCATCCAGGAGCTAGAGGACGAAGAGGACGTTGAGGCCGAAGGCGTAGTAAAGCGCCCCGGTTTCAGAATACTTTTGCTCACGGTCCGCGTCATCAAGCTAGCCGGATCTCTTGCACATGACGGTGTAGCAGAAGCCAGAGGAGGAGATTCTTCAGCTTCAGGTGGAACAGGATCTTGTGCAGGTTGAGCGGAGTAGCCAGGTTCCTCTCCACGAGCATGAGCTTGAGCAGGACGTCCACGTAGAGCTCGATGATCTCGCACCATTTCCCACCAGTCGGCCACTGGCTCCTCGAGGTGATTGGCCAAAGCAGACACGGTTGTGGATCCTGAGCTAGGGACAAGCTGTGTAGGCGGAATGGACGCAGGATCTGGAGCTGAAACGGTGGTGACCGAGGTCAGCATGTCACCCTCAATCTCTTCCTCCTGTAGCGCCAGACAAACTTCCTCATCCCACACACTAGCCATGTAGGTGACATGCTGGGCGTGAGTCAGGGAGCCAGTGGCGGTGTTTTGGACCCACGTAGGAGACGAAGGCGAGCATGTCCAGGAGCTGGATGTGCTGTGCTGTGGCAGAGGGTTCGTAGAAGCCAACGTAGACAAACTGGAGGAGGAGCCGTTTGTCAATGTAGACGAAGGGTCAAGAGGTCTCGATGCCAAAGGTCTCCACTCATCCCATTCTTCGTCTTCCTCCCAAAGGGTGCAGTTAGTGAGACAGTACAGGGTCCCCAGGAGCAGAAGAGGGCAGCGAGGCCACAACATCCACACCATGGGTACGTAGAGAGTATAGGCAGGGTTGTCCACAAAGTTCGAGCCGAGGGCTGCAATAGGAGGCAATAAACTCAAAGAAGGTTCACAATGTCAAATTCAATCGAGTTTCAGAAGGTCATTCAGCATGTGACAGGCACAAGCGCATGCGGAACTGTAGCTCTCAGTCAGGGCAAACTTCACATGCTACTGCTCTACATGACTAGAAGCGAATCGAGAGTTGTCTTCCATTGCACCAGCGAACGTCCCATTCTTGAACATATGCTGGTCTTTCTCTTGTCCATCGGTCTCGGTCTTGCGCAGTGACGTGCCACAGAGTGCCGTGGCATTGAGCTAGTTGCCGTTCCGTGTTGGAGGCGTAAAAACGACCCTCATGACGGACTCCTACTCTGTCACTGAGGGCTTGCTGGGCCCGCCACCAGTACATGTTGCGCCAGTTGAGGGCTCGGAGTGGAGCACCCGCATGGGCAACACCATTGATGATCTCGACATGTCTTGCCCAGTGGCCGTGCAGCGTGTGCTGGAGGACAAGAACTCGCTCGGACCACCGGGGAAAGTGCTGATTCACCAGCCACACCCTCACGAAGCGCAGGCTACGGCTATGCCATGACACCCACGATTCATCTCGAAGGCGACGAATCTTGAAAGCACTCCTGCAGGTGTGCAATTGTACTAGATTGAGGGCATTCAGATCATCTTTGCTCCAGTGCAGAGCTCCCGCGGTCCAGGCAAACTGTGATTCAACGAGGCTACGGAGTATGCTCATTTTGTGATGCCACGAGCCAGGAGCATTGAGGATTTCACGATGTGCAGCAGCCGCAGCTCTGGTTCTGCTGATGAGTTCCTGTGCCTGTTCAGACTGGTTGGAGCTGAGACTGAAGGTTAGACCAAGCACTTTCAACCCTTCACCCAGTGGAGCAATCTCGAAGCACGCATCCCCAACACGAACTTTGCGGCATCCGCGATAATGCTGGTTGGCAACAATCTTGGTCTTCTCAGCTGCAAGTTTAAGCCCAGCACGTTGGAGGCATCGATCGACAACACGTATGCGGCGCGCCAGTCTTGCCATTTCGGTCTCGAGGATGAAGATATCGTCCTGGTAGAAGAGAAGGTCAATCTGCAGATTCTCAAAGGGAAGGCCAAAGTCACCCCACTGTTTACATTCCACCAGTTCCATGAGAAGCGCATCAACGACCAAGCCGAAGATTTCTGCGCTCTCAACCGCACCCTGCTTAATCCCGACATTGGGCGAGAGGCTAAGAGGATGTCCACCCGGAGCTGCGCCAACCAGATGATGTTCACGAAGTTGAAGAAGGAGATAACGAAGTTCTGCATCCAAACTCTGTCCTGCGAGTCGTTGAACTAGCAGTTGTGCAACTCGCGACCTATCAACTCGATCAAATGCGCCTGCTACATCCAGCTTACATAGGAGCATGGGCAATTTCCATTCTTTGGTAGAGTCGCGCATTCTAGAAATACACCCAATCAGGTCTGCCGCTTGTCTTCCACGACCGCAGCACGAGACCCTGGATCCACGTCTCATTACTGGCATAGCCCGGGCGCAGACCATTTTACTGATGAGCTTCTGAAAGGCAGACGAGATGCAAATTGGTCTCAAGTCCTTCGGGCCTGCTGGACTCTTGCATTTTGCCAAGAGCGCAAGAAAGCTCACCTCCCATTTCTCAGGAAGTTCTTGTGTGCGTACTATATGATTGATGAGATCGAGGAGCCCGTAGCACAGTGTCTCATGGTTGGCAATTTCCCTCAGGAGGTGAACTCCGATCTTATCGGGTCCAACGGCACTTCGGCATTTCATGGATTGCAGCTCCGTCCTCATATCAACAAGGGTGAAGGCACGAAAGTCACCCTTCTGCTCGATGCAAGAAACTTGTTCGTGTAGTTCATCGTTCCAATTCACCCTATCGGCATCACACATTTTCTCCTCAAGATGACATTTGATGTCATGGGTCAGTTGTTCAGAAGAGCGATCCGCAAGCAACTCACCCCACCACCCACGACATCTTTTCTTCTCGTTTTGGAGTTGACGGTATTGTGTCCAATCACCCTTGAGGATCTCCGAGAATCGATTGATCTTCCAACGCTTGCGAGCAGAACGACGAAGCTTGTGCACTTTCTTCCACTCAGCTGAGGTGCCCACTTCTCTCGCATGGAGGATCGCATTCTTGACTTCATCGTCATCTCTGTACGCCTTGGACTGCACGGGACGAGTGTACTTCTCCGCCAACAGCTCGAGGTCCTCCGCATCGACAATCTCGCACGTGGGCAGAGAAGTGTGTACCCATCTGGCACGTGAGTCATTGCCCCAGGTAGCCTTCGAGCTTTTCTGCGAGTAAATCTCGGAATACACAAAGGCATGGTCAGATCCGACGACATGTCTACGTTCAGCATCGATAACGAGGGAGTCCACATTGATCTGCCGGTTGAGGATCATGTCAATCTGCCTACCACTGCGAAGGGGATCTCGAGGAAAATGTGTCGGCGAGTTCCGGTGCGCCAGACAAGGAGGAATAGGTTTACACCCCAACTGGTTGGCGCCATGTATCATCTCATTGAGGTTCGTACTGCTCGTACCGATATCAAGGTGTCCATCAGCTGTGTCAATCCATGTCGGAACCTCGTTGGCGTCGACCCCACACAAGAGCGGGAGATGGCGGAATCTACGAGGACAGGCGTCGAGAAATTCGTGTATAGCAGCCTGGTAGACAGCATTGGTGGTGCCCGTATGTGCATGAAGTGAGCCCAGGACAACTCTGCCAAGTCCTTTCACCCTCGCAACCAGCCAGATCCCACGCGAGCAAGCAATCTTGAAGAGCACCGAGTCAAAGATGTCAAGTGAGAATCCAATTGCCACCCCTCTCCACTGCCGAGGATCACGATGGACAACCCAATGGAACTCATCCGTGTCGAAGTCGTCCCAGCCAGCAACATCACGAGAAATCTCTTGGACAAAAAGAAGGTTTGCATCCTTTGCTGCAAGATCAAGAAGAGTGACATCTTGTCCTCCTAAGTTCCACTGCGCCGCACGGCCCCATCTGCGTTTTGCATACAGACGGACACGGGACGGGAGACTTGCACGCTGATCCTTAGGATGTGCTGCAAATCTGTCGCGCGGCGAATTCTGAGTTTCATGCTGTGTGAAACAGGGCCCATCTTCCTCTTGTCACAGCTCACGTTCGAACGCCATCTTGGCATCGTCCGTGGAGCATCCTGCTGTTCGTGCCACGCTTGAAAGGCTCACCCAGCCTCCAGTCATCGTGACGCAGTCTTCGTCCCTGGGCATGCGGTGGGTTGCACTTCCTAGCTTGAGCGAGCCGGCCCATACTGTTCCCATGTTCCAATCACAATCGTAGTCGAGCGGACTGGTGTTGGCATTTCCTCCATTCACCCCACTGTTAGCATTGGCATCGACTGCAAGTGCGATTGTCACCCTCCGTATCATGCTGACATGTGTGCTTCTCTGTCTCGCACTTTTGGTTTTCACAAAGCTCGCCCAGACTGTTCTGGTCTCATCGCCATTCTTGGTGCTCGGCAGTGGATACTTGATACGTCCCAGGGCTTTGATCACTTCCCACATCCTGTTGCGAACATTGCTGTAGGACTCACCCTCACGGACGACAAACTTGAGCATACCCACGCTGCGCCTGGGGCCGTAAATCGCCAGACGATCTGCATCCAGCAGCGGTTTCATGTCCTCATGCGAGAGAAGTCCAGCAATCTCTTCTTCGATCACCGATCTCTTCGTATCCTGAAGCCAGCCGCCAACCACAAGAGTGCGTTTTTCGTCATCGGTGAGCATGTCGTTCTTGTCAGGCAGGTCACCCTTAGAATTCACCCCAGATTCGGGTGGCTGGGACTGGCGTTTGCGAAGGTAGTCACTCCAAGGGTCAGAGCTCCCATGAGCATCACTTTGAGGTCCAGGAGGGGGATTAGGGACACGAGCAGGTTCAGCAAGTTGCACTTTCATGTTCTTGACCTCTTCAGTAAGCTCGTCTAGTTTCTTGGACGTGGAGTCACAGAGTTGACGACACCCCTGGCTATCTTTCTCAAGCACTCGTGTACGCGACTGTAGGTTGCGCACTTCAAAGTCAGTCCGCTTCTGGTCTTGCTCAACACGGCCAAGTCTACCTTGAAACTCCTTCCAGGCTGACTTCATCTCGCTAACATGGCCGAAAAGAAGCTCACGTAGTTCTCGAGAAGTGAGAGGTTGATCGTCGCCACGTAGAGGACGTTTCGACGGGCTTTCGTCTCCATCCTCATCGTCACTGGGAACTGGTACTGCTGCTCCATTCTCGTTTCTCTTCCGCTTCTCGAGCTTCACCTTCATCTCATGATCGGCATCAGGATCTCCTTGCTCGGACTCTGCGATCTCAGTAGGCGAGGGTTTTTGATCTTCAGGTCCAACAGCATCATTGTGGACACTCCCAATTCCCCCCGTGATCTCCTCGTCCTCAAAGTCATCGCCACCATCCAGCTGCATCGGGATATCCGCCATGTTTTCAGCGAGGGAAGGAAGTCACCAGCTGGGTCACAGACTCGTCCAATCGTCGTCGTGGCAGAAGGGACTCAATGAGAACAAAGGCAAGTGTTCCACCAAGTCCGTCACGAACCGGAGAATCGCGTAGAAGAGGACCACGAGTAGGAACAGGTCCAAAGACACCCCGGAGAATCGTGTAGTCGTGCAGCACCAGTAGGAACAGGACAGAGCACAATGTGCAGAAAGACACCCTCGAAGAAGAAGAAGGAGGAAAACAGGCCGTTACCCACAGTGCAGGACCAAAGACACCCCGAAGACACCCCGGCGAATCGCGTAGTCGTGCAGCACGAGTAGGAACAGGACAGAACACAAAGTGCAGAAGGACACCCTCCTGAAAGAAGAACTGGCCGCCACCAGCAGCGCCGCGCCAGGAGAGCGGCCTCACGACAGGGACACCTGAGGAATGGCTCAAAGGGCACCAGGAAGGGACAGGAGGAAGGCTCGGGCCACAACAGCTTGAGCCGTACGGGTTTAGGGCCCAGGGTTTCGGCGCTCACACTCGGACAATCCAGGCGAGGCATATGAGTTCGCGTCTGCAAAGTGAGACTGCACTAAGAGGCTCCGTCATGATATGTCAGCAACAGAACCTATCAACACTTAAAGTGACTGTGTCCTCCAACGAAACCTCTCCTTAGAGTCCTGTTTCGAAACATGGCTGATCATTGGACTCCAAGGTGGCATATTCAGACAGATCGTTGGGGGTGGGCTCAGGTAAAAGACTTTCGAGGGTCATGATATACACAGAAAAGTATGAAGCCAATAAAGGATCTGGGTCAGGACGACCCGGGCAGTTAACGACCTGTTGGTGGAACATGAGTCCCATGTTGCCATACTAGTCAGCGTGTTACCGACTTGTCACTATGAATTACTTGCATACAGAAGTTGTGAAACTACGGAATACGTGGAGCTACGTGTAAACGAAATAATGTACAGTCGGGCTTGGATCATCTGGTGAACCTATAGACCTCGGAAGACTCCTAAACTGCAGCGCCTATCGAGTACAAGACCTCATGATTCGGAAGACCGATTGCATGCATATGAATTCCAAGCTTGCAACCCTCAACGTACAGCTCAGGTTCACCACTGGCTCGACCAAATTGAATACCATGCACACGCATTGTACTCAATGTGGTCCACCATACGGTGATGTGCAGTTGGCCCCACTTGCAGAGCAGCCGAGAATAGCGCTAATGACAAGGTAAGCCAGGCTCACCACCTGTTGCTTTACTGAGCGGCATGCACATGCGACATATTCCCTCCAGCTTCTGTTCGTCCTTGCCGTACCAATTGGGTGGTCCATGCACCATGCATCGCAGGTTTCCATCCCTGCGCTGTTTTTTTTTTTTGTCCATTCATTGCGACTTGGTAGGCAGCCAGGGACACACTTGTCAGAAAACATGCAGAGCCCCAATGGAATCGCCGCCTTTGTAGTCCCTCGGTCGATGCCATCCGTATGTTTGAATTCCAGAAAACATGCATAGTCAGTGACGTTCGGCATCTGAGGCTGAGGTCGTACAGTGCTGTTCCAAGTCAGCAAGCATGCAGCATGTAGTTCATTCGGCATGCAGAGCAGATCACGAAGCCAGATGGCAGACCATGCAGTGTGACATGTGGCAGCGGAGGCCATGCAGCGGAAGATTGAATTCAGAAAGCATCGTCGTCCGGCATCATAGTCAGCGTTGTACGCTATCGCCAGCCAGACGGGGATAGCCAATCTCAGGCCCATGTGTGCCAAGCGCGGGCGCGGGTTAGTGGTTTCTAGGGTGCAAGCCCCAAAAACAGTGTAGGGCAACCAGCCTACCCGTAATGAAGGTTCAAACCTCATGGTGAAGGAGATCAACCTGTGCCCATAATGAGACTGCATGTTAATGGACCTATGGAGACCCTATAGAACATGGACCTATGGGGCTATGAAACAGGGATAAAACATGTTAAAGTGGGGAATGTAGAGGTAGAGGTTACAGGGATTGGGGTGCACGAAATCACAATAGTCACAATAGAGAGACAGGGTGACAGGAGTAGAGACTGGAGTTAGACAGCTTGGAGGCAGGTGTATACGAGGCAAGACGACAAGAGAAACCCCAAGGAAAGCCCTTTGGTTAGCCAGCACTCCGTGGAACGTATTTTGCACACATTCCTGCTTTGATGATTTTAGCCGCCTGCGGCCGCATCTGAAGGCCAGGGGAGGGTGGCTTGTGATTCGGAGGTATAGGAATCTGCCTGTGTAGGGCGGTGTTTCTTATTAGTGTGTGTCCCTGATTCCACAGTAGATACAGGTGAGCGAGGACTGTTCTCATTCTCACTATCACTGAGTACAAGAGTCAAGGGAAACCCCTGTTTCAGTTTGCCTACACCCCAGATTCCTGTGGCCCCAGATCGTGGAAGGTCTGTTAGTGTGGTCTGACGAAGTTGTCCTGGTCCCATAAGTACCCGTGTATAGAAGTCGACCTCCAGGCTATCTGGGGTGATGAATCCTAGATTACCTAACGCCTCATCAAGCGGTCTAGGGATACTAATAGATCCCATAACCGTGAAAGCGACTGCCACTACACGTCTGTATTCCCAATCTTCCGTAGCATGTAATAACCTTTTCCCCGTGAAGATTAGTGGATCGCCTGATGAAAAGCTGTGCAGGGTGCCTTGAAGTACACTACCCATATATGTTTTCTGGGTTGTTCCTGTTGGTGATTCAACCCAGATCTCCCCTCCAACAAATGCAGTTAAGGGTATGACGGCTTGAGGATAGTGGGAGTTTCTTAGGTCCCGATGTAACCCTTTACCCGCAGAGTCCCGGATCGTAATGGTGGAAAACTTATGGTTAGGGGTGAGGAGTTTGAACAGACTACTCAGTTGGCTAGCAAGGTACTGTAGGGGAGCTGTCGCTACACAGAGGCGTGAAAGGTCTCTGGGATTAAGACCTAAAGTAAGTGTGTGTCCTGAGCCTTCTGCCAGTTTGTACTTGGCGGGCGCGCTGTCAAATGCTTGCAAGATATGTTGTTTCAGTTGCAGGATCTGTTGGGCCTTGCTAGGTACACAAGTGGGGGCTTCCATGTTTCGGCTAGGGCAGCACCCCTGAGCCATAGTTGCTGGGACTACGGTGGGATACTCCATTCGGTTTGTGTACTAGCATGTTGCAATCCAGGGGACAACAGAGGGGAATCGGGCTCGGGATGTGATGTGGGGTCAGGGTCAGGAAGGGGTGGTATGAAAGTTCGTGCAACTTCCACAGCTACTTCATACACTTGGCGTTCCATCCATACTACCCAATCATGTACTTCCTCTTTAGTATGGGCCCGTATCCCTTCTGCAATAGGATCAGCTGATGTGTCAAGCCAGTACGGTGCACATTCCATAATAGCATTATGAACAACAACAATCCCATCAAGAGGATACGTGTTTCTCTTTTGTGCAAAACGGGAATACAATGAGTCAGCAGCTATCCTAGACACTCCCAATGGCATATTTCGAAGCTCACACCGCAAGGACTGTATGAGTTCTTCCGCACAAGGGGGCATGTTGTCGGGGCTTGGCATGGTGTGTCTGTGACTCGAGGCTAAATCGGTCTCTGGGGATGCATCCAGCGGAAGTGTGTGTCCGCTGGAGGAGGCCATGAGTTAATAGGGTCGGTGGGATTCACAAAACAGACCCGTTCGCAGGTAAGTCGAAGATCGCCTGTAGGCCAAAGGTACGGGAGGTTCCAATTAGTGTGAATACCTGAGTAACAGTCTAAGGTGTGGTAGATGCGCGTGGCTATCCTTTCAGACCAAAGGAAAAGGCGGTTATTGTCCGTGATACTGACTGTGGCTGGACGGTCTTGTTCATGTGTTGTCAGGGTGTTACAAACGATCTCCATAAGTGTGCACCAATACGACCAAAGTACCGAACCACTATGCTGTAGAGGAATAAAACCTCGCATTCTTCTCATTCTTGTTAGTAATCTAGATGCTGCAACATAAGAGAGGTCTGGTGGGAACTGGATGAGTAGATTGTGGAGTTCGAGCCCCCATATGCATTCTCGACTAAGTTGGGTGGGAGTAAGAACGTCACAACGCGGGGTGGTCATCTCGGCTAGGAATGTGAAGACCGCAGGGCTTCTGGATCGAGGCTTGAGGCTGAGTGTGCAACGCAGGGTCAGCAGGATGTGCTTTATCGCAGTGCGACAGTGAAGTGCTCCAGCAGACATGCATCAATTCGATGCCGTACAGTCATGCATAGAATTCCTGACATGCAAAAGCAACTACAGTAAATATGGGGGTGGGGGAGGGGCATTCAATAGTACTGACGGTTATGGGGTCTGGGGCCTTGGCCTCTAGGCCGATGAGCTAGCCTAAGCGTGAAAGGATACGGACACTGGGGATCGATAGCTTCCTCTACTATATTAGCGAGGTCACAGGCAAGTAGAAAGGATTCGTCCAAAGAGTAAAATAGGCATTGCAGAATAAAATCCTGAGCATCCAGTCTATGACGAATTATCGAACAGAGCCTGTGGACCTCGGGTATAGCATCAGAAAGATCAGATTGCAAATCAATTACTTCATTGGTGAAATCATCATGCAAGTGAATTGCCTCCGATGCGATGTTATGTAGGTCCTTCATGTCTGTGCCAAGCAGCAGGATGCTTCTCCTGGTCTGGTCCAATTCATACTCCATTTTGCGCAGGCGTGCGTCTATGGATGGCAGCAGGCTGGCAGTATGAATCGTTGTGAGGATGTGCTGCTGTTCCAGCTCTATATGTTGTAACCGTTGTAGGTCCTGTAGCTGGGTCTCCATGTTTGTGATTCGGGCCAGAATATCATGTTGAAGTTGCAGAGACTTCTCAATGCAATGTAGTAGTGGCCGAATGTACCTGTCGTACACCACACGGAGTCCCCATATCCCACCAACGAGGGGAAGAAGCAGCAGTGGATTCTGAGCAAGCATGGACCACATGGCTGCTTATGGAGGTGCATCAACTTCGC